AGGTAGTGTATACTGATTGGAAACATTAGATTACATTTTATCACCAATTAACTTGACCTTTCACTTGAAGGACAAAAGCCTGTTATGTGTAAAAACATGGAACTGGGTGCAGCAGAAACGGGTTGATTGAAGTCTGTGCACTGAATTTAAAGGATAGATTTTAACTTGTACTGTTGCTCTTTAGTATAAATCATGTCTAAAAATCCCCCCCCCTTCCCCAATCGTGTGGTTTAGTGGAAACTGCATGTACTTATTTTTTTTTACAAAGTCCAGAACAGCCCCAGCTTGTCAGCTAGGAGTCTGATTGGTCAAACTGATTTAATCTCCCTTTCTAATTAGCAAAGATAAATAATAAATTTGCAATCACCTTGCTACCATGAAGTATTTGAAAGCAAACATCTTGTGTGTTTTGAGCACTCTACTTAGGCCTGAATCAGGGGTGAAATCCAGCAGGTTCTGACAGGTTCTGGAGAACTGGTAGCAGACATTTTAAGTAGTTCAGACAACTGGCAGCAGAAATTATGAGTAGTTCAGAGAACTGGCAAATGCCACCTCTGGCTGGCCCCAGAGTGGGCTGGGAATGGAGATTTTGCATAGCAGTCCCCCGCTATGCCCACCAAGCCACACCAAGCCCACCAAGCCACGCCCTTAGAACCGGTAGTAAAATAATTGAATTTCACCACTGGCCTTTAGCTGTGTGTCGGTTTCCGGTATTAATATTCTCAGCAAAGGCCTTGTTGGCTGGAAAATTCTGGAGCCAAAGCTGAGGAAGACTGAGTTAGATGGTACAACTGCATCACTTGATTGGTGCTAAAAAATGTTTGTATCATCTTAAAAAAAATATATGAAGAAAGGGAAGCAGAAATGGTCCATTGCTTTCCCTGAATGGTCCAAGGTAAAACCATCTCCTTGCTTTTTTTTCTTACTAATTAAATTACCAGTAATTTATCACACCTTAAGTAAAATGGAAAGGATTAACTTTTCTTCCCCACAATGGCATCCATGGAGGTGGTTAAAACATGGCAGATACAGTACTGCAATCTAAGCTCCACCCCTCATGTTACCTAGGCCTATATGGGGGTGGGGAGGCTTTGGTGATATTGTGATGGCCACAAACTTGTCTGTTTCAACCCCCCTGTGGATGTCACACAGTGGTGGGATTCAGCCAGTTTGCACCTATCCAAAGAACAGTTTGTTAACTTGCTAAGCAGTCCAGAAAACTGGTTGTTGGAAGAAATCTCCTTTTGTTTTTTTCCACTTTACAGGGCTAATCCTGTAAGGAAGGCAGGAAGGAAACATGTTGGGGTAGTTTCTAGCCTAATCTTTATTGTCCTGCTTACAGAACCTGCCCCTCCAGTTAACCCTTATTACATTGTAACAACAAGAGCCGAGGTGGCGCAGTGGTTAGGGTGCTGTACTGCAGGCCACTTCAGCTGACTGTTATCTGCAGTTCAGCGGTTCTAATCTCACCGGCTCAAGGTTGACTCAGGCTTCCATCCTTCCGAGGTGGGTGAATTGAGGACCCAGACTGTGGGGGCGATATGCTGACTCTGTAAACCGCTTAGAGAGGGCTGAAAGCCCTATGAAGTGGAATATAAGTCTGCTATTGCTATTGCTAACTAAGGCAAAGCACCTATTGATGTGAGTGACATTGAGTTGGCCACACCCACATCCACCTAGTCACATGACCACTGAGCCCCGACTATCTAGCTGGTCATTAGGGCAGAGAACCGGTTGTTAAATTATTTGAATCCCACCACTGATGCCACAGCTTTCATCAAAGGATAAAATAGGACAGAGGGCTGAATAATGTTATGGGTCAAAAATATTACTATGAGTAAGTAGATAGTAACTGTTTTATCAATTGTGTACATTTTGCCTATCAGAACACTTCGGGATTGTGCTGCTCTGTTAATTGTCTTATTTTCCTATTCAAATTTATTCAGGTAAATTGCCTAGATAGGGTTAGGGGAGAGAAGCTGAAAACTACTGATTTTTTTTAAAAAAAATCATTTTACTCATTCTTGTTTGATCACCTTTTCTCCAAACGCATATCTTTTTATCTTTATCATTCTTTAACTTTTATTTGTCTGACCTCTAGCCCCCTGGACCTCTAGATCCAGTCTGCTTGCATTCCTCAGCTCTTTGTCCTCCCTTTCAATCTTCCCATTTTTTTTCCTCAAATTTTTCTCTGCTTTTTTTCTAGTACTTGTCTCTTCCTTGTTTTACAGAGTGATCCGTCATTCTTTGAATATGCTGAAATAAAATACTTGGCATTAGACTATTGGATAACAAATCATTTATGCTGCATTATGATACAACCTGGAATTTTAATAATACAATATTTTCATAATTTTAAAAAAGTAATAAGAATTCTGTCGGTACCTGAAGTTTGTGGAGTTATGACGGGATCTGGTTCCTTTTGTGCTTTTTACGCCTTGTAATCCAATATCGGAGCTGGTGTTAGAAGTGAGGCTGAAAGTTGCCACGTGGTTGTAGTTCAAAAGGAAGAAACGGGAGAGACTGTCATGAACAGGTCATCCAAAGTCACAGTTTGTTTTATGTGACAACTCCCCAGGAAGAAGCAAAGAGAAAATGTAAAACATCTGTCCTTGGCAATTTTTCAATGCATAGAATTTTAGAATTTGCTAATGAGAAAGCAGATAAATGTGGATTGTCCACATTCATCTGCTTCATTAGCAAATTCTGAAGTACTCGGGTATGTTTAATTTTCCCACATTCACCAGGTGTTCAGGCTTGCCTGGTGGGCTTTTGTTTGGATATAATCTAGTCATGGTAGAAGTTTGAGGGTTGGGGAAACCTAATACATATGACAGTGTTTCTCAACCTTGGCAACTTGAAGATGTCCGGACTTCAACTCCCAGAATTCCCCAGCCAGCATTCGCTGGCTGGGGAATTCTGGGAGTTGAAGTCCGGACATCTTCAAGTTGCCAAGGTTGAGAAACACTGAGTCATATGATAAAGATTTTATCTGTTGTAGATGGAGGTTTCCTTCCCTTGAAAGAACAGTCTTATGGTCTCCTTTGACCCTATGCTGGGTTTGACTTTGCAGATCAATGTAGTCGCAGCAGGTAGCAAAATCAGTCTTTTTCCAGCTCTGAATGCTCCATCAATCATAGTTTTTTCCAGAAAAGATCTGACTATTAATGCTCATTCTCTTGTTACTTCCCAGTTAGGCAGGTCTAATCCTGTACTGGAAGGAGATTCAGAAATTAAGCTGTCAGATAGGTCAGATATTTGCTAGTAGCATAGAATAACTATTCTAATTCTAGTTGTCAAGGCAGATTAGTGGATTAATTTTAGATTGCTTATTATAATAATAGACAAATCCTTGGATAGATAAGTAGCTAAGTCCAGGGTTTGTGCCCTGCTTATCTGCAGGATCCGCTTTCCATAAGTTACAAACTTATACAGTAGCGCCAATAAATCACACTTTATTGCAAGTATTGGAATCAACTAGGGTGAAGGGTTGTTGCTGTTGTTTTGGTTTCCTAGACTGCTCCATCCTTGGCCTGTTCTAAGAAGTAGTAACGAATTAAGGGTACAACCATTTTTATACTCAAATTTTCATCTTCTAAGCATTTTAATATTGGATATTTTTTATTGCTTTGCGGATTTTAAAAGCTTTTTTAAATATTGGTTGGTTTTATATAATAGCTGGATTTTATTTATAACCATTGTAGTTGGTATTATTGGAGTCTTCAGTTTATAAACACCATCACAGATAAAACCATCATGTTAATCAAGTTATCTTAAAGTCAGCATATTGTAGGAGTTGCGCCTATCTGAGAGAACGTTCTTATGGGCAGCATATAGGAGTCGTAAAGGGATGCGGTGGCTCAGTGGCTAAGACGCTTGTCGATCAGAAAGGTCGGCAGTTCGATTCAAATCCCTAGCACCATGTAATGGCGTGAGCTCCTGTTACTTGTCCCAGCTTCTACCAACCTAGCAATTCCAAAGCGTGTAAAAATGCAAGTAGAAAAAATAGGAACCATCTTTGGTGGGAAGGTAACAGCGCTCCGTGCGTCTTTGGTGTTTAGTCATGCAGGCCACATGACTACAGAGACATCTTTGGACAGTGCTGGCTCTTCGACTTTGAAACAGAGATGACCACTGCCCCCTAAAGTCAGGAACAACTAGCACATATGTGCAAGTGGAACCTTTACCTATAGGAGGCGTCCGTGAATGCAAATTACTTTCAATTTGAACAAATTTCACTGGATGTCATACCTAGCTAGAAAGCACCTATTCCACCTTGTCTTAATTTTTTATCTGCTCCCTGCCAAAGTCCCTGGTCAATCATGTTACATATCTGTGTATCTAATTTCATCAACCAGGTTAAACTGAGTGTTTCCAGTGCCTTATTGAATGCATTTCTATGTCCAATTCATTATATATCACAACACGCTTGTTAATATAAATTCATAATAAACAGAAACATAATAAATTGGGTTATGCAAATTACTTTTGTATGGAGATTCTATTGAAGACAGAAAAGTCAAGGCATGAATGTCTCAAACAGAATAAACCTCCCACCCTTTAAATCTCATCTTATTTTTCAGATAAAGTTCAGGTAGTACTTTGGATAGGAACTGAAATTATATAGCAACTATTATTTCTGAGTCAAGTGAACAGTCTAGAACATATTGTGGCATAAGTTTTTAAACTACAATTCACCACAAAGCTATGGGTTGAGTTTAGGATTGCTTTACCTATACATGTGACTCTGAACTTTGTATTTACTGGCATAGAATCAATAAACCAGCAGCTGCACAAACTTGAAGTCTTATGTTATCAACTTTTATACCACCCTATGTAAATAATTATATCCTAAACAAATGCTGAAAAATACATGGACATGTTTATAGATTCGTTGGATAACTTCTGATAATAAGAGAGATATAAAGTATATACTGATATTAAACAAAGTATTTTGCAGGTAGAAATTATGGATTAATGTTTCCCATTGATTTTAACAGGTAAAGAAAATAGCACCTGAATATTATGACACCCTACCTCAACACCAGTCATGGGTTCATGTTATCTGGGACTTTGTTTTTGATGATAACATCAGTCCTTATTTAAGGGTTAAAAGAAAATATAAATTGGTTTCTGAATCTTCCTAGACGCCAATACCAGCTTTTCTTTCTGGACTTCTGCACCTTGAAAATGTTTCCCTCCAAACATGAATGATGCATTTTATGAAGTGTCTTAGGTAGATGCAGCTGATGTACTTTGCTGAATCCAAAGGATTGTCTTAAATCCAAATATGAAGAAATATTCAAATGAAGATAATGAAAAACTTTTTTCTTTTCTACTGTGCAATGCAAAACTCAGGGACAGCCAGAGCACAGATGACCCTGAATTTATAGATTTGGAAAGTAGAGAAGAGAAAGGTAGCTATCTCTGTATTTTTTTTACAAATCAAAGTATATGGCTAGGAAGTCCATACAATAGACCTCTCTCTATCTCTGTAGATGAGGGCTGTCAAACTCCTGGCATGCGGGCCAGATGTACCTACACCCCTTTTAGTGAAGGGGGAAAAAGTCCCGATATGTCACATGATGCTGTAATGACTTGAGTTTGACAACCCTGCTGTAGATAGGAATTTTGCAAGTAGGTGAAGATTGAAGGTCTCCGTGTAATTAACTTTTAAGCAATGTGCAAGGATGTGGGAATTCCTCATCTCATACTATTGTGATGGGCAATGGTTCTGAGAACTATAAAAATTATCCATCTAGATAGACCACAGGTGTGGAACAATGACTCCTTTATGACATGAGGATTTCAACTCCCAGAAACCCTGAGCCATTATGGCTGGCTCAGGAATTCTGCAAGTTGAAGTCCACATGTCATAAAAAGCCATTGTTTCCCATCCCTGATCTAGACAGAAAAATTTGCCAATGCATATGAGTTGCAATAATTAAATCAGACCTCCGCACTGCTGGTTACAAAGTACCCAGCTGTGTATATTTAAAATGATTGAATAGCAGGCACCTCTGTTTATGATTTTTAAGTTATTTAAAGAGAAAGCCCATATGTACCTACTTCGACATATTCTCTAATACAATCATCAAGGTGAATAGGTTAGGATTGCAGCCTAAAATGGATTGAGGCAAGTATATTCTTAATACAGTCATGTGCAAGTATGGCGATAACACAGCCTGAGAGCAATGAATATAGTTTGCGTGCTTCAGTGCTTGGTATTCCTAATTACATGAAGAGCAGTAGTTAATATTGGAAAGACCTCTGGGAAGATGTTTTAAGCAGGGTGAATGATACTGGTTTCGATGGAAAAAAGGCAGACTAATTTATAAGGCAACTTATTTTTACCTAATCTTATTGCATTCTTTGACAAAGTGACAAAATTAGTGGACCAGAGAAATGCCCTCAATATAGTTTACTTGGACTTCAGTAAGGCATTGGATAAGGTAGACCATAACCTACTACTAGATAAAGTAGAAGAATGTGGATTGGACAGCATCACCACCAGATGGATTCATAACTGGCTGACCAACCACTCTCAACGTGTACTACTCAATGGAATTGCATCTACATGGAGGGAAGTAGGCAGTGGAGTACTCCAAGGCTCTGTTTTAGGCCCAGTATTCTTCAACATCTTCATCAATGATTTGGATGAGGGAATAAATGGGGAACTCATCAAATTTGCAGATGATACCAAGCTGGCAAGAATAGCCAACACTCCAGAAGACAGGCTTAAGATACAGAAGGATCTTGACAAACTTGAACATTCGGCACTATCTAATAAAATGAAATTCAATGGTGAAGAGTAAGGTTCTACATTTAGGCAAGAAAAACAAAATGCACAGGTACAGTATAGGTGGTACCTTGCTCAATAGTAGTAACTGTGAGAGGGATCTTGGAGTCCTAGTGGACAACCGTTTAAATATGAGCCAGCCGTGTGCAGCAGCTGCCAAAAAAGCCAACACAGTTCTAGGCTACATAAACAGACAGAGGGATAGAATCAAGATCACGTGAAATGTTAATACCACTTTATAATGCCTTGGTAAGGCCACACTTGGAATACTGCATTCAGTTTTGGTCCCACGATGTAGAAAAGATGTTTAGACTCTAGAAAGTGTGCAGAGAAGAGCAACAAAGATGATTAGGGGATTGGAGACTAAAACATATGCAGAACAGTTGCATGAACTGTCTAGTTTAATGAAAAGAAAGACTAGGAGAGACATGATAGCAGTGTTCCAATATCTCAGGAGTTGCCACAAAGAAAAGGGAGTCAAACTATTCTCCAAGGCACCTGAGGGTAGAACAAGAAGCAATGGGTGGAAACTAATCAAGGACAGAAGCAACTTAGAACTGAGGAGAAATTTCCTGACAGTTATAACAATTAATCAGTGGAACAGCTTGCCTCCAGAAGTTGTGAATGCCCCAACACTGGAAGTCTTTAAGAAGATGTTGGATAGCCATTTGTCTGAAATGGTATAGGGTTTCCTGCGTAGCCAAGGGATTGGACTAGAAGACCTCCAAGGTCCATTCCAACTCTGGTATTGTATTGTATTGTATTGTATTGTATTGTATTGTATTGTATTGTATTGTATTATTGTACCTACCCAATTCTCTTTTTAGGCTACTACAAATGCTATTAGTTTCCAGAGGGCATGTTTATTCTATTGCAGCAAAAAAGCAACAAAATCTGTGTTACCTTAAAGATGAATGTATTTATTATCACATAATAAATGGACTACAGTCTGCTTCCTCAGATGCATGGTTCATTATTCTGAAATTTATATTATATACTCTTGATATGACAACTCACCCCCCCACCAACAAACAAACAAAAAACACAACCCCAGCAGTCACATAGCTCCTGAAGTGTGAAATTGGAGGTGCTTCCACATTTAAAAAAATCAAAGTTTTCAAAGGAACCAAAAAACTTTATTAAAAAAACCTAGCCAGTGCTCCACTTATTATTATCTAGTACCCCCACCCCCACGTTGTAAGTTATTGAGCAACATGAGATGCACAGTATTATTACTTCTTTCTAATCAGCAATGGATGTTTTATAGTCCAAGGCAGGTAAAGAAATCATATATTCAGGACACAAATGTTAGGCTTGGTCACTGACTTTCCCATCAAGTGAAAGTCTAAGGAGACTTTTGAGGGTCCTGCTCAGGAGAAACCTCCATATAATTTCAAGAGAAAACAGTTTCAAGGATACTACCAAAATTTTTCATGTGGGTTCCACATAACTCTAGTGGTTTGCTCAAGCCAACATACATTTTAAGCCTAAGCAAAATAAAATAGTTTGCTATTAATTATCACACAGTATTTATGACAAAATATTGGATGATGTGTTATGGGGAGATCTATTCAGTGCAAACTTGTTTTGGGAGAAGAATACTAGTAATTCTGAATATAACCACTATATACAGAAGACATGCTTAAAAATGATGAAAGACATTTTGTCTTTGGAGTTGTTCTATTCTCCAGTCTAGGTCCAGTGATTTGCAGCCATCAATTTTGCAAATTGATATATTTCATACAATAGCCAGGAGATGTAAACATGAAGATGTGAATTTTCTATTTCTCTAACTGTATTTCTGGTAGCACCACCAGAGGTCAGATAAAGACCTGGGTTTACACAATATGGAAACCATAATAAGATTTCCTTAATTTGGTATAACATCTTGTGTGAATTCGGACAAGTCAATAAACCATGGCTTCATTCAACGTGTAAACATAGTCATAGCCATTTCCTTTGGAATGCCATCGCTGGTCAAGATTGCCAAGTTGGCCATCCCTGTTGTTAATAAGTAGAAAAGTATATATTATGAGCCCAAATCTATTGCAAGAATGAACTGAAAGAAAAGCCAATCAATGCCACAAATGCCACATGGACAATGAACAATTTATTACCAGTATGAGCACAGATGCTGTGATGCACCGATGTACCGCTTTAATATTGTGGTAGTTTTGAGACCAGGGACTTCCTGGCTGACAGCTGGCATCTTCTGGCCTCAACTACTGATGCCATTAATTAGATTCTGTTGGCAAAAAGGTTTTCATTTACACTGCAGACTACCAGTAAAAATGTTTTGAAATCATCTAATAAAAAGCAAATGGATCACATGTTTCCTTACCTACAATATACTAAAAAACAAAAATGTCATACATTTAAATAAGCAAATACAAAATACAAAAAGGCTGACCAAATCTGATGTGCATTATCAGATGAATTTTAAAAATCCAGATAAATTTTTAATATTTTCCATTTCAAAGATTTTAAGACTTTTTTCTTTCTTTTTTAAATGAAGCAAATCCAAGGCAGTAGCAAGCTTCAAAGTCTGCTGAGTCTGCTAATAAAAAGGATTTTAAAAACAAAAGATGCTGTCAGGTGTCCTCTTTCACCATTCTGCATGATCTTGGTACACTTAGAAATGAACCATCACTTGTCATGTCCCTTGCAACTTCCAGATGGTCTCGTGGCCATTATGTTGTGCTGATTCGACTCAATTCCTGCCTGATTGCTGAAAAACAACAAGAAGAATCAAATAAGATGTAAGCCATGGCTTATTACAAAAGAAAAGATAACCACAATCTCATGCCTAATCTAAAGTCCATCAAATAATTCATGAGAATTGTCTGAAACAGCAGAAGCAGCACAGAAAAAATAAGGTTGAGCAGATTAGCTCCTGGTAAAATTCAGAAGATACAAGCACCTAAGTGGCCTGGAGTTTCCTCTCTTGCTGTCTATTACACATCAACTTTATTGGTCTCCAATGTTTGGTATGTTTCCTTAGGGTATGTTTCCTTAGTCTGGTATGTTTCCTTAGTGTAGCAATGCAGAGCAGATAGTATGTGAGACAAGGCACTCTTCTTCCACACTAGGAAAAGTATCACCTTTATATGCTAGTTGAGTAGAAAGCCTGTCCTGCATTCTGACATCTCAAAACATAGTGACAGCAAATTTACTTCCAGATCACTATTTTATTTTAAATAAGAATTGCCTCCATCACTTTTTATCAAAACCACACCTGCTAATTTTTCAACCCTGTAACATTCCATTCTGGTTTATGCTTTTATAGTTCCCTGATTTCTGAAAAGCCTCTGTATAAACTGTGACATTAATGGTTGCACCTAACTAACCTTAGTTGATTTCAAAAGCTAAGCTTGACTACACCTGGATTACCTGAACAAGAGACCATCAAGAAACTAAAAAAAATAAAAAGCATTGGAAGTCAAACCATGTTTGTAATGTCACTGCAGAAAACTGCACAGATATGTCCGTGTAGTCCCCAGGAGTTGATCTTAAACAGATTGAAATTATAATATGGCAGAATATATTTTTACTTCCCTTTATGCCAAATCCTGAGTTCAGTTAACAAGTTGAAAGGCAATCTTTCATTCTGTGTTATCTTGGAGTGGTATCTGTTTTCCTCTCCAACAACCCATACTGAATGTGAGTTTAAGATATGTCTAAAGCTGCTGCAAGAACAAATACAGATCTAGGAGGGAAGCCTGGTTCCATGTTTTGTGAAAGCTAACTGAGCATGTTTACTTGGTGTGTAAATCATAAAAGGTTTCAGATGAAGCTGGGAAAAAAACCCCACACTGCTTCCAGTGTTTTCTACCTGACTTCTCAGGAAATCTGAGTCTTATAAACTAATCGATAAATCTTACATTTTTTCTTGTGCTAAACTAAAATTGAAGGTTGAAGATTCTCCTATCTACCACTTTCCTAAAAGTGGGCAATGGAAAGAGGGTAGCCAGACAGTCATAGCCGTTAAATGGATATAATCCTGACAGGGTGGACAATGTCTTGCATCTCTCACATACAACAAAGTTAAAGCTTCGTAATCTCCTCACTGGGGATGAGAGACACAACTGTCCCAACATCTGGAATGCAGTTTATTGAGAAAGGGTGTGGTGGATTAAACTGTTGTGCTTGTCTTTGTTGATGAACACTGTTAACCAAATTAACATTTATAAGACAGGAAATGGACTCCATCTTGATCCTTTAGCCCAGGCCAATGAAAAAAAGCTAAGGCTTTCTTAGCTTCTTACCATCAATTATCTCTTCTTTTACTTTGTGTAATTCTTTTACAACTTCCTCCAATATTTCCTACAGAAAGAAAAACAGAAGGCAGTTGAAAAATGCTCTTCGACACTGTAAAGGCCCAAGTCCCTTAAAATGGTAAAAATAAAATTCTCCCAAATATTCCTGTAAATATAATTTGAACTTTTGCACTACACAAATAGAGTTAAAATGCCCTATTCAGAAAGATGATGAACTGAAGTTAAGCAACCTTTAGGCTTACTTGACTTGCATAATAATAAACTGAAAAGTGAGTTCCCTTGGAATTATTTTGGCATGGAAAGCCCACATGATGAATAACTATGCATATGTCAAACACTACAAACAGATGAAGACTTCTTGGATTTGAAAGTAAGAGCCCTGAGACAAACCTGGTTTATAGAGAAAACACATATTTTTTATTGTTGGGGTGGGAAATGCCCTTCACTACACAGAAAATAGAAGATAATCTTGAATTTCATGCTGGCATGTTTTACTGCTTTCTCTTTTTGTACATTTAATGCAGGGTCAGAGGGACACAGATCTTAGCAAATACTTTGCATGCAAAAAAATAAATAAATTCAGATTCATCCCCTGCTCTCTCTTTGCCTGACATCTGGAGAACTGGTATCAGTACTGAGTTAGATATACCAAAGATCTGACTTCAATACTGTATAAAGCAGGAAGGTTATTTGTGGAACACAGCACTTAGGAATGGTTTGTTTATTAACTAGGTTGAGAGAATCAGAAAACAATTCATGCATCCACAACTTTTCTCATTTTACTGCCTTCACAGGTCATGAAAATGATTCATTTCTTTGTGAGACAGACATTTCATAGCCAATTCTGCCCAAATGGCCCTCTGAAGAAACATAGCTTAGTTTAGCTAAGGTACATAGCTTGATACAACAACTCCAGGCTCCATTCTTGAATTTTCAGTTCAGCAAGCAGAAATCTTATTGCATTCTTTGATAATGTGACAAAATTAATGGACCAGAAGAATGCCGTCGATATAGTTTACTTGGACTTCAGTAAGGCATTTGATAAGGTACACCATAACCTACTACTAGATAAAGTAGAAGAATGTGGGTTGGAGAGTATCACCACCAGATGGATTCGTAACTGGCTGACCAACCGCACTCAACGTGTAGTCCTCAATGGAACTGCATCTACATGGAGGGATGCAGTATGCAGTGGAGTACCCCAAGGCTCTGTTTTAGGCCCAGTACTCTTCAACATCTTCATCAATGATTTGGATGAGGGAATAAATGGGGAACTCATCAAATTTGCAGATGACACCAAGCTGGCAGGAATAGCCAACACTCCAGAAGATAGGCTTACGATACAGAAGGATCTTGACAAACTTGAACATTGGGCACTATCTAATAAAATGAAATTCAATGGTGAAGAGTTTAGGCAAGAAAAACGAAATGCACGGTACAGTATAGGTGGTATCTTGCTCAATAGTAGTAACTGTGAGAGGGATCTTGGAGTCCTAGTGGACAACCATTTAAATATGAGCCAGCAGTGTGCAGCAGCTGCCAAAAAAGCCAACACAGTTCTAGGCTACATAAACAGAGGAATAGAATCAAGATCACGTGAAGTGTTAATACCATTTTATAATGCCTTGGTAAGGCCACACGTGGAATACAGCATTCAGTTTTGGTCACCACGATGAAGAAAAGATGTGGAGACTCTAGAAAGAGTGCAGAGAAGAGCAACAAAGATGATTAGGGGACTGGAGACTAAAACATATGAAGTACGGTTGCAGGAACTGGGTATGTCTAGTTTAATGAAAAGAAGGATTAGGGGAGACATGATAGCAGTGCTCCAATATCTCAGGGGTTGCCACAAAGAAGAGGGAGTCAAGCTATTCTCCAAGGTACCTGAGTATAGAATAAGAAGCAATGGGTGCAAACTAATCAAGGAAGAAGCAACTTAGAACTGAGGAGAAACTTCCTGACAGTTAGAACAATTAATCAGTGGAACAGCTTGCCTCCAGAAGTTGTGAATGCCCCACCACTGGAAGTCTTTAAGAAGATGTTGGTTAACCATTTGTCTGAAACGGCATAGGGTTTCCTGTGTAGGCAGGGGGTTGGACTAGAGAACCTCCAAGGTCCCTTTCAACTCTGCTATTGTATTAAATACTGAACAGAATTGTCATTTTTTCCTGGTTTGAACACCATTAATAAACATTTCTTCTACCAATATTCATCAAGCTAATAATTCCAACTCACTTGTTTCATACGATCAAAATCTAAAGTGTCCATTGCCACATCATTACTGCTGTTTGCTGGCTTCATCCTTGAGACAGAACAAAAGAAAATAAGAGACAATTCCATGCTGTGTTCCACAGTATTGAGATGTTAGTAATTCCTTAAAAAATGGTATTTAAAAGCAGGTGGAAGTTCACCATGCAGCTCAACAAAAGTTCATTGTTTGACATTCTGTTATGTTTTCTATATCACTTAATGGTCAGGTAATTTTGCTACACAAGCAGCTTCAAACCCTGCCCAGTGTAAATCACTGAAATATCATTTTAGCTTTGAAAATGCCCCAGGGAAGGGAGAAAGCAAACCAAATTATATTTGTGTACCTGAAGATTTTTTTTTATACCTGTAATGCTAATTCAAATAGTTTCCATGGCTACTTTACTTCATATACTGTTATTGCAGTTAATTATTTACTAGATACTGTTTGCAATGGCTTCATTGCCAGGATAACAGGTGGGTAACCTTTCAAAAAATTCTGTTCGTTGTGCAAATCTATCCTTATTTTTCCTTTTAATCATCTTCAATATCACCATCATGTGACAGCAACAGTATCAGTACCACCAATATATATATGTAAATTTATGTGCTGAAGAATTATCATCTCTGCACAATGTCTCCTCTTTACTCCAGCCATTTTGGTAACAACTCATTCCAAAGCCTGAGCCATGAGGACATCATGTGGTCAACCCAAGCAATAAATCAGGAACCAGAAGAAGTTTATATGACCTCTTTTTGTCTGATGTAATATGGGAGGCTGAATGATGATTACATGGTAATTACCGGAAAATTATAAGTGAAATGTCGCTATCAATGGACTATTGGCATTTAAGGGTGAATGCGATTTGGACAGTATAGAAAAGGTTATATGCAAATATCTATCTTTTATAGTCTTTCAAACCCAAATAATTCTCTCTCATTCTTTTGGTCAATATTCAAAGGCTATGCAATAGATCAGAAATAAAATATTCATTAACACCCATTGCAGTTTTTTTTTAAATTGCAGAAAAGTCAATAAAAACTATTTTGTACAATTTATAATATTTTTTCCTAGCATATGTGTACATATCTGCATTTTTTTTTGCAAACCCTGGAGGCTGAACTAAGAACATCCAGCAAAATATTTCAGACTCGACATCTGGATTAACCAAATGGTTATAGTGCTAAAATTATAACCAGATTTGGCTAAAATCTAAGAGGTACATGCATTAGTTTTGGGAAGGAACCTACCAAATTTCATTATAGATTTTTACTTAGTACATTTATTGAATATACTATTGTAATATGAAGCATATAGTTTGATGCTTCTCAACTCATGTTTAAAGTTTTTATAGAATAGTCACTAAGGTGAGTGTGTGATCAGGCATGGAAACACATGATGTGGAAATTTTAATTATCTCTTTTATTATATTGTTATTAGGCAGGTGAGAGAAACAGCTGTTGACAACTAAATGCCTCTCATCTAGTGCAAATCTGATGCTTCAGGGTATAATTTTCACTGTGAGTGCTGCATTTTGGAAGGGATGCATGGGATGAAAACAGTTAAACCAAAGCAATCATTATTGGCATTCTGATTTTAATTTGGCCTTCCAAAGCCATTGCATAAAATATTGGGGGAAAAATTTAAAAGCATAATTCAACATCAAATAATGTTTAGTTTGCTGACATTCTCTAATGTTAAAGTAACATCCCCATATATCTGTGGTGGAATGATCTGTAGGTATGCTGTATCTTTCCTTAATGTATTTGCTTTATGTAATTTCTACATCTCATAGCTATGTCCTCCTGCCAGATTCCTTTGTGTAACATGTTTTATTTAATTTTAGAACAATGTTTTTTTTAACAAAACAGTCACAAAATATACTAACAGCAATGCTTTTTTTTCAAACTACACATCAAACTAGACATTATTTTTCCAACAAAGAACAGTGGTTTTTGCTCACTGATTCTGTTGAATTCATTCTCATCTTCATGGTATTTCCATGTAAAAGCGACCCACAATGGATTTTAATTACCTGATTTCAATTATGTAATCCTAATGTAAGCATCACTGACATATAAGCAGCAGTAAGCAAGCAAACAAGCAAACAAACAGAGATGGTGAGTCACATCCAGGCGTATAGCTTGTTAGTTGTTGCATGAAAAGTTACATGTTTTCTGCAAAGGATAAACCAAAACACTACAGAGAAGTCAGGACAGTTTTTCAGTACCTAAAAGATGGCTGAAACTGAACAGGACCTTTAGATTCAGGACTTCTCCCCACTGATGGGTTTCTATGCAATGGAATGAGAGGATACAACATGATCACATCCAGAAGCATCATGCACAGGTCCAATACATGCAGGTGATCCATACATGATGTTCTGCAACTAACCTAGAGAGTAACGAAGTGACCGGTTTTTCCATGGAGTTGCTTCTCTCCCAAAGTTTCTTGCCAGGATCTAGGCAGAGAACAGACAAACAAACAGAAAGCTGTAGGAATTAGATTGTGGAAGAAGAGTTTAGGCAGAGGTATGGGGAGAGGAGATAATTTTTTAATAAGAAACATACTAAGCTACCTAATATGTTTCTAATAGCAGCAGGTGTACAGGTGGAATAAACCCAAGCAACAGATCCAGATCAACAACAGTTATAAATCTGCTAAATCAGGAATTCTATTAAAAACCTAGAACACTAAAGAAGGATCCTTTCAGCTAATACTGAAGAAATGAATTCTGGAACTTTTAGCAACAGAGTAACATTGTTAACTGAAGTATAAATAAAAATAATATAGCTTATCATTTATGTTATATTCCTTAATTTCACCATCCTTTGTATATATCCAAATCTATGCAGATTTTCTATAACTCATTAGTCCAGCAATTCTGTGGGAAAGATAGCATCAGATGAAAAGAACCATGAGAGTGGTATTTCTATTTTACCTGGCCTCTGATATTGTTTTGTTTTTTCATGGTCCTATTCTTTTATTTGGCTGGTTCCTTCTCCATATATCTAGAGTGATATGGGACACAACCATGGATAGAAATTCCCACATTGTCACTGTTGGTTGTAAGAAAATGGATTCTCCTTATTCCTGCTCATGTATGCAGGTTCTGTAGAGAAACACATCTTGAATCCAAACTGGAAAATTTAAAACCTTCATTACCTGTGACTGGTTTCATTCAATATATCTTTTAAAAAAATCAAGCAGACCTTCAAATGCAGAATAATATTCTGATGATTTCTCAGCAACAAATTTGCTAAGTCAATATCACTGCAAGAAAGTAATCCACTGTGTTTAAGATATAATCCTGTGTGGTTTTGCATATTCGATTGGAAAGCAATGGTATTTAGGCGTGCTCAAAAATATTATGTTGACATATGTGTTGTACATTTAGTTTTTGTCTTAAGATGTGTTAATTTCCAGACCAGACACGAATTACTGTTGCTAGGCTCACAACTCAAATTTAGTTATAAACCTATTTTAAACTTGCTTGGATAATCCACGACAGGCCGACCACAAATACTGATTCTCACAATATTTTAAGGTAAAAATCAAATCAACTACATTACTGCTTAGCAAGATGTCTGCATACTGTATAAGCACCAAATTACTGAGGCAGACGCTCTTTCAATTATTGAGTAGGGATCTTTTAAAAGATTTCTTAATCTTCTTCACATCCATTTTGCACAATTTAGATTTCAACACAAATACAAATATTGTCAAAGGAAGATTACAAGTACAAGAGTTGAATACCTGAGGAATTCTGCTGTTGGACAGGGCCTCGTGTAACAGGTGTAGGAGAAGTACTAGCGTCTTCCTAAAAGCAAGCAAAAAGTTATCTTAATATTGTGACTGTGGTTTGAAGTATGTATGTTTTATAATATTCCTAGCTCTACAATAGAAACAGAATCTCATTATGTGGCAAAGGAGGTTCTCTTTAACCAGGAAAAGCTATTTATTCATTCAGTCCTTTATTGTCAGCTGTTCTACACCTAGCATCCTATAATCATAATTTACTGAAGTTGGCAAAAATCTAATACTGGTGCTCATATTATTCCTCCTTCCTTCCTTCCTTCTTTCCTTCCTTCCTTCCTTCCTTCCTTCCTTCCTTCCTTCCTTCCTTCCTTCCTTCCTNTTCCTTCCTTCCTTCCTTCCTTCCTTCCTTCCTTCCTTCCTTCCTTCCTTCCTCCCTCCCTCCCTCTCTCCCTCCCTTCGTCCCTCCCCTCCCTATTAAATTTGTTTGCCACTCAACTTGCTGTGAGGTGATAGTTGGTGGCTTACATTAAAAGCAATAAAACTACACACACAAAACATCAGGAAAGTGGGAGCCAATCTCACTTCAGGGGACAAGAAGTTCCAAAGGGCCAGAGCAGTGGTGGGATTCAGCCAGTTCGCACCGTTTCAGGAGAACCGGTTGTTAACTTTCTGAGCAGTTTGGTGAGCTGGTTGTTGGAAGAAATCATTAGGGCAGAGAACCGGTTGATAAATTATTTGAACCCCACCACTGGGCCAGAGCTACAGTAAAGAAGCCTCTTTTCCTGGATCCCCAAAGACCCCTTATTAATAAGCATTTTATTACATGATCTGTGACAGCACAGATGGGATGGGTCAGTTCTATTGGGGTCAGGCTGTTTTTCAAGTAGCCTGGACCCATGCCATGTAGGGTCTTAAAGGTGATAATCAACACCTTGAATAGCAACCGGAAGCAAGCTGGAAGCCAGTGCAGCTCACAGAACAGCAGTGTAACATGGGCTCAAAACCTGAATGTGCTGCTGCACTCTGCACCAATTGTAGCTTCCAAATGCTCTTCCAGGTAGCCCCATGTACAGTGCATTGCAGTAGTTTAGACATGAGATAACCAGGTCTTGAATGAGCATAGGGTCTTGTGATACAGGAAAGGCTGCAACCGGCACATAACCCAAAGTTATGCAAAAGCTCTCCCAGCTGGGGTTGCCACCTGCTCTTTAAGCAGAAGTGGCAAGTCCAGGAGGACCCTCAGGTTGCAGTCTGGGTCTGCCTGGGGTAGTGCATCTGCATCCTGAACTAAAGATGTTGAAGTCCTGGATCTTTAAGCTCCACTTTCCCAAGGTTCAGCCAAAACCTGTTATCCCCCATCCAGGCCTGTGAGAGGGCAGTGACAGCATCACTTGGATCACTAGGGGTGGAGATATAAAGTTCAGTATCATCAGCATATGATTATATCTCAACCCATGATGACAGATGATCTCACCCAGCAGCTTCACATAGTTGTTAAAAAGGAGTGGAGAGAATATCGAGCTCTGTGGCATGCCACAAAAGAGCAGCCATGGGCTGGCTCTCTCATTCCTATTAATACCGATTATGACTGGCCTTGGAGAAAGGAGCCCAACTAGCACAAGACTGTGCTTCCCAGTCACAGACCCCATTGGCCGTCCAAAAATATAGTAGGGTTGATAGTATTGAAGGCTGCTGAGAAGTCAAGGAGAACAACAAAGCTTGCACTACTCTCATCCTGCTCTCACCAAACCTGTGATCTTCCTTCCTTCCTTCCTCCCTCCCTCCTTCCCCTCACCCCAGTGTTTAATAATATAACAAATGAAATGTCCACAATAAGCCAACATTTAAGCAATTGGACTCTCCGTGAGTAATGAAAAGATATCATGATAGGAGACAGTATCAACCACCAAAGCTTTCTAGTTCCATCTTTACTACTTATCAAAAGATCAGCAATGTGTCTAGCCTAGTTTCTAGTAACAGACTAGTTCATAATATCCTGGAGAAAGTAGCTTCCTTGTCTTGGCCCCTTTCGCTCTCATGAAAATTACAAGTTGCCTGAAGTTTTCTTTGTAGCAAACATAATGGACAGTTTGATTCAATGGTAAGTATTTTGTGATAAGTCATACAAACTAGCACTTTAAATTGCTCTGGAAACTCAAGAGGGAACAGTGCAGAGTCTGCAATGTAGATGCACTGCTATATGTTTTTGGTGATTAACACTGTCCTGAAAGCAGGAGGGGACTGCATAATATAAGAATTGTGGGTTCTGAATATCTGCAACAGAGGCCCTATGTTGATTAATTAATTAATTGATTATTAATGTACAGCAGGGGTCAGCAACCTGTGGCTCTGGAGCTGCATGTGGCTCTTTCATTCCTCTGCTGCGGCTCTCTGTCGCCGGTCGACTCCACAATTGATAGGGCTTTCGGTTAGGACAGGTAGAAGAAAAAGGACAACACGCTAGGAGGAGACTCTGTGGTGGGTGAACCGGACTTCCGGTCGGCTTCAGAATTGAATGGGGAGCTTCCGGTTAAGACCTTTGTGGCTCTTTAAGTGTTTAAGATTGCCAATCCCTGATCTACAGAATGAATAATGATGAGGGTGTTTTTGTTGAGAAGTCCTCACTCTCCAGATAAAGTAACAACAGATACACCAGTAGAACCCGGCAGAGAACCTCCTTGCTATGACTTCCATCTGTTCATCCAACAGTAGTGATGAGCCTAGGACTTGGGCTCCCAGAGATACTCATTGTTTCCCCATGAAAGACAACAGTGGGACTGACAGATGTCTAAAGCATTTTTCAATTCCTGATGAGGCAGATTAAATGTTTCAATATTAAATTACGTACAAGAGCAGATAAAGGCTACTCTTCACATGTTCTGATAGACATACAAATGACTTCCATGATTCAAATGCCACCGAGTCAGAAGAATTCCACTTACATTTTGGCTTTCCTCTTCTTTTTTGTCCACTGGCTTATCTGACTGAGATGCTGCTTTTCTCCTTAGGACAGAGTGAAAAAGGCTATAAATCAATTCCTTGGAAATATATTTACAACTTACAAATTCAGATATGTTAATTACTCCCAACATAGTTGGAATTATCTGTACAAATAGTGAAGGGGTGCATTCCGAAGTGTGTTGAAGCTGGCTCACACTGGCTTACGAGAGCCAATTGGTTTAAAAAATAATTTTGTGAGATAATTGAGAGCAGAGCTGAGCCTCAACATCTATGTGTCAGTCAGCTGTTTTGTGTCTAGCAGCATGGCATGAGAGCGGCAATGGGGCTGTCAGAACAGGTGGTTAAACATTGAGTTGTATGCCACTGGACATATATAATGAATAAATCACATTGACTAGCAAATAGCTCAAATAAAATCTCCATCTTCTACCTGAACTAACACTAGTGGTCATAATTAAAGATATGGTCCTTTGCTTTGGTTAATTTTATATCAAGCGTAGTTTCTCTGGGCGATTTAGCCTGCATGGACCAATTCCTTCTAGTCTTTTTGAAACTGTGGGTAAGAAAAAAGAGATACTGCTTGTCACGATCACCATCACTAACCTTTTTGCCAATAGTTTATTCATTTCCTCCATAAGACCGCCTCCTCCACTACTTGTTCGATTGGCATCACTCTTGGCAGCACCACTGGGACTAGAACCTCCAGATCCATCCTCTGGCTTTTAGGACAGAAGCCAACAATGTAGAGTCCATAAGCATTAATAATTTAACTGTTCAGAAAACTCTAAACACCAAAGACATCCATACGTACTTCTTTATATATTAGAATTTCAAGATCCCAATTTTAAGCTTATAATGCTTCTATCACAGCCAAGATCCTTACCCGTTGCACTCTTCTTAGTTTGGCACCAGCCAGAGCCGCTGCTAGTCCTGACATTGATCCGTCATCAATGCTAGATCCTCCACCTGCTGGCAATGGGGGAGGAGGAGGAGGTGCGGTTCCCGTAGGTGGAGGGGGAGGAGGAGGAGGAGGGGGTGGTCCACCAGATGATGTGGGTATTCCAGTGGCAACAGAGGGGTGACCTGGTGGTAGGGTAGGACCTGAAACGAAGAATTGTCATTCAGGAACTGGAATGTATTGTCTTGTTTGCTTTCTTTACTGACAGTTGCTTGGGCCAATAATAGCAGTCAAAATGAAAGCCATCAGAGAGACAGTTTCTAGAATCATCAGAATCTCTCAAGCGATTTTATCACTGCCACACCAACCATAGGGCTTGTTGGGAAATAACTTGGGCCTTCCCTCTTGCCTGTAACAAACAGCTGGCATCTCTCTCTACCATATTTAGTCTGTAGTTGGATGCCTTATTTTAGACTTAGGAATGCTACACCAGGAACGGGATATATCTCAGCATTTTATAAAAAAATAGCAATGTGTAGTAAATTAAAAATAATGCATCTGTGTACATAATAATGTCCAGTAAAACCTACATACCTTGCAGTAATTAAACTGAACATGAGAAGGGGAAAAGAAGGATTCAACATTATATGATAAACTCAAGTTGAGAATTATAGCTACAATATGGGCATTATTTTCAGGTATAATGATGGCTTTGCTTCAGCATTCTTATTCAAGGCTTTTAATCAAAAAATCTCATCTCAAATCTTACATGAAGCTCCATTCTGGAGTACAGCTGTCAACAGTAACATTACACAACTCAATTCAGGTGACATTTTAAAGAGTTCTTTTAAATGCTTCCAAATTGTGTTTCTAATTCTGTTATTTTTTTTGGAACCACATAATCTCTCCAAAAAGAAAAGCTTGACTAAGTACAATTAAATCCTAGTTGAAATTCTATTTTCAAAGGCAAAGAAGTTCTATATGGTTCTTATGCAGGCAGGTGGTTTAAACAGACGACTCAAACACTTTATTGGTGCTTATCCCTATTATTTGTATGTATGATATTGGCATGTTACAAGTGGCAAAGGCCAAAATTCAATATTATCCCTAACCATTACAATAAATTACCTTTTTCTGTTTCCTATATATTTTAGCCGTTTACATTTAAATGAATATAGAATTAATTTTTCTAAAATGAGATTAAACCCATTGCCATCAAACTTGTTATATAGCATAGATTTCAAAAGAACCCCATCTCTCAAATATGTTGCTCCTGTAATGGTCACAGTGCCAAAGCAGAGCAGCATCAGTGATAATTGCAGTGGACCTTTGTATAAACTAGCATTTCATTACATAGTTACCTGTGAGAACAAACTGAGCAGTCCAATCATATCTCAAGTGTAACAATATTGGCTCAGGTGTAACACCAAACATGCAGACTTCTTTCCCAGTCTTAATCAAGGACTTTTTCATAAGCCAGTAACCCTTGTTGAAATTCAATGATTAATTTGATTAATCATAAGGGACTGTTCATTCAAAAGTTTTGACGTTGTTCTTTCAGACAAATTGTTTTTCAGATACTTCATATATACTGGCTAAATTATCCACATCAAAATAATATAGAGAGGCAAGATTTGTATAATGTTCCTAATTTCCCCCCCAATAATCTAGATTCAATGTATTTTCTAAGGGTAGAACCAGTTTTCTTGGAGTCTCTGTGTTTTACCACAAGTATCTAAAAACAGCATAGAAGCAAGATATTAGATATGTATACCTCTGATCTGATCCAACAGGGATCTCATCTATATGTAAAATTTTATTCTATTGTATTAGATACAATCTGCATGGTTTCCAATTTATGTAATAGTTTGCTCTTCCTGTTACCAGATTAAAATTGTTTCCAGGTAACAAAGTATATGATACTTCTCTTTTTAAAGTTACAATTTTAGAACACAAACATATTAGCAGGCAGGTTAAGAGAAATATTGAGGAATAATCACTGTAATAGATTCATTGCAAGTCCTTCTCTCTCTAGTTTAGAATAAGTATTTTTCATAATTAGGCTAAAAAATAGACTTTGACCTGGCCTTTATAATTAGCTTTTGATTAAGTGTTCTTTCTGTAGGAGATGACCAGGCTGAGCCTGAGTTCAAATATGTCATAAGTCATGCGCACCCACAAGAGATCTAAGTCCATTCTACCTTGCTCATTTCCTTGGACTATTAGTTGGTCAGGTTCATGTAGAGAGCTTAAATTTACAATAAATCTTTATATTCATTTGAGGTGTCTGAATCTCCTAATTTCCCTGGCGCTTGACACTTTCATTATATTTTGAATAAGTATTTTCGGGTATTAGATGTTATGTTATATCATTGTCACTCTCCATCTTTTTTTCAAAGTAACATAACTTCAGTGTTTCATATAAAAGTAGCCTTACATTAATTTAGCCCTTTAAAACCATTATTACAACCAAGCCAATAATCAGTAATTAGCACCCAATACAAATAATCGTTAAGAAAAAAATTAAGAGTTTTTAACTTATTTCAGAAGTCTGTCCTTATTATAATGAATTGGGCAAAATCTAGTATATTAAAGACTTATACCAAAAATCCCAATCTTCAAAAGTGGTATAATAATACATGTGCAGAATTATATTTTATAAATATTTTTAAGGTTAAACTGAAATCAGTATCAGGCTTTAATCAGCATATTCTCGTAGTTAAGCCTGCTGTTCATCTAAAAAAGAAATTAGTAATTTCCAGTAAGCATAATAAAAAAGTTATCATATGCTCAGTATATTTTGCAAGGTAAAGGTTCCCCTCACATATATGTGCTAGTCATTCCCGACTCTAGAGGGTGGTGCTCATTTCCATTTCAAAGCCGAAGAGCCAGCACTGTCCAAAGATGTTTCTGTAGTCATGCGGTTGGCATGACTCAATGCTGAAGGCGTATGGAATGCTGTTACCTTCTCACCAAAAGTGGTTCCTATTTTTTCTACTTGCATTTGTACATGCTTTCGAACTGCTAGGTTGGCAGAAGCTGGGACAAGTAATCTGTCTGTTACGCGGTGCTAGGGATTTGAACCACTGAACTGCCCACCTTTCTGATTGACAAGCTCAGTGTCTTAGCTACTGATATATTGTCAATATAAGGCTTAGTAATGCTTTAAAAAAAAACAGCGGGCAAGAAACAAAAGTGAGGATTTAAAGCATGTTTCATTCCATATTGAATTATCTTCCAGAGCTCTTGAGTTTTATGACCTTAATGTATGAAGAAGTATCTATTTTGATTATTGCATATCGAGTAGTTTTTTTTTAAAGAAATAATTCTGTTGAGTAATAATTACCTATTTTGCATTCAACCATCAATTCTCCCTTCTGCATAAATATACTTTTCCCAAGTGAACTACCTGTACTTTCATTTTATTAGGATTTCTTCTTGCTTCAGTTTAGCTTTTTATTGTCATAAAATAACATGCAATTTTAATCTACATTTTGGAAATTCAAGGCTATGGCAATATTTGAATTTGTAAAGTATTCTTCATTTTCCTATCCAAGACTCTCATAAAACAGGAGTTAACAGTACTGTATTCAGCTGTCACACTAAAACGACAAGAAACTACCTCACAAAGTGTCCATTCCAATTTCAGTAATGGTTGCCTATAATATGAGTAGGACTGTTTGACTAATGATAGTTCACAACTATTCTAGCAGAATCAGCATAGACAGCAATTTTTATCAGGGATGTGGAACCTTTTGGTGGCCAAGAGCAGCTGCATATAACATCTTGATGGCAACTTATAAAGTAAGCAGGATCACATCACAAATATGTACAGGATTGGGTCTGGACTTTTCTTCCTTTTTAAATTGTGATATGCCTGAACATTTTTAAGTGCAAGCATGAGTAATTTACAGCACAAGGCTTGCATATGGTACCTAAACATCTTTAATTCAAGCCTGGAAATGGTACCAATTGGGTCACTGAATTACAATATTGCATTTACCAAAGAACTGTAGCAATAATTCCTATAATTCTGAAGCTAAAAACAAACAATAATGTATACCATAAAATAGGCTTGGAGTAGTGAAACAGAGAAAGATTTCTACAGCTTTGAAACACATTCTGTAAAAAGAAGGAACATTTCTGCTCATGTTTGTGGCCAACTCTCTCCTCTTTGTTATACCTGCTATTGTCCTAGTGACCTATTAAAAAAAAGTGCATTTCTTTGCTACTAAAATGTTGGTTTCTCTGCTTTAAAGTGTCCAGATTGCAACACATTATAGACACAAATATATAATATACAAATATAATACTCTTGTCAGATTTTTCAGCTACCAATCACAGATCTATGACATCTTAACTATAATTATTTCCTGTCTTCTATGCTCTTTCATTGAAAACGTTTTGATCATTTAATAGAAATTAGGGCACTAAACCAGTAATTTCCCAACCCTGATATATTCCACATACATCACTTTCAACAGCTCAAATAGCATAGCCATTACTAAACTTAGAATCTACCAAGTGTAGAAAAGG